CTGCAATCACAGCTCTGGAAAAGCTGTTATTTTTCTTCTAAGCTTGTTGTCTGCAATTTTCCTATCTGGTACAGAGGGTAAGAAGTCTAAGAGGCCCTGGGGCCAGACCTACAGAACGGAAGAACTTTCCGGGGAGAGTTTTGCAAGGAAGGGATGGTCCCCGGAAAGAGCAGGGATTCAGTAAGGAAACAGGTGGGCGATTTTGGCAGAAAGCCCTAGAATGCAGAGAAGGGTGCTGCGAAGAGGTGACATTCCCGAAGGCGTGATGAGAGTAAAAGCAGTAGAGAGAAGCACAGAGCAGCCAGGGATGAGTGTGGGGGAGGCTGGGTGTGCAGAGGATAGAGATGCTACTCAGAGACAAGGACACTTAAGAATATATGGTTGTAGGGTTGTTTGTTTTCATTACCAGATACAAGATGATTTTGTAGTGAAATAAGCTAACAGCACTCTTCTGAGAACATCTTGATGTTAAAATGCTCTAGAAAACTGCTCAGATATCTAACAGTCACATTTTCTACTTGTCACGGAAATATCTTTTCCTTCCTCCCATCTCACAAGAATACTTGACAGCTTCAATGTGATATACTCTTGGATGAATGAATTTAAAAAGTTATTTTTTTATTAACCCAATTTACATAGGTTAAATTTCAGTGAAGTTGTTTATAGAAGTGAAACTTCAGGAAAAGCTCTGACTTTTAGTTGTGAACTAGAACCACTGTCTAATACTCTCCTATCTCTAGTTAAATTAAATTTGAAAGTGTGAAGCATCTCACGTTATCTCCAAAGAAACTCACAAGGCAATGTTCACTAGATAGTTGGTCAGTCAGTGATTCAAACCCTTACTAAGTGACTAGGCTGCCTAAAGCATTAGAAGAACAAAGCAATGAGTAAGACAGGGTAAAGTTTTGAACACTATAAATAATATGCCAATAAATAATACTTTAAAATAATTTAGAAAAAGTGATTTTTTTTGAGCATGAGAATCTTTCTTCCTTTTTTATATTTCCTGAGTAGAAAATTAAAGATAATGATAATATTAATAATAAATGTGGGTAAAAGCAGAGTGCCCAAGAAGAATATGCTAGAAGTATATTCAATAAAATATGTTGAATGATAGGTTTTTTGGAGTACAAAAATTTGGGTAGGGGCACTATGCTTAAGGCAACTTAACATGTCACCATTTCTATGTCATTTTATTATCATAGCAGAAAAAATTTAAAAAACCTTTTAGGTTGCACTAGCTAAAAATATCTGAAACTAATGTATAAAAATGATAAGAAACCTTCTCTATTCTTTAAACATAGCTATCCTTGCCCGACTGGCATGGCTCAGTGGTTAAGCATGACCTATGAACCAGGAGGTTGTGGTTCGATTCCTAGTCAGGGCAGGCTCAATACCCAGCGTGGGGCTTGCAGGAGGCAGCCGATCAATGATTCTCTCTCTCTCTCTTGCTCTATAAAATCAATATTAAAAAAACTAAACAGTGTCCTTCAAAAACAAACAAATAAAAAACCCACATAGCTATCCCTGCCTGGCCAGTATAGCCCAGGTGAGGCATCATCCCATACACTGAAAGGTGTTCAATTCCCATCAGGGCACATACCTAGATTGCAGGTTCAATTCCAGTTGGGATGCGTAAGGGAGGTAACCAATAGATGTTTCTCTCTCTTCCTCTCTTTCTAAAATCAATAAAAATATATTCATCTTTCGTTTTTCTTTTTTTAAGTTTTCCCTTAAAGTTTATTTTAATGCACTTTATCTGCATAAGCATTTCTTGATAAGGAGGGATGCACCTTCATGATATGGGTGCTCCTCTAATCTCTTGGGAAGCTTTGTTTATATTTCCAAGACTTGAGCAAAGACACAGTACTAGCAGTTCCAAGTAATTTCTATTAAAACTTTCTTACGTGACTTCTCTTGGCCCAAATTGAGATGCTTATGGAATTTGGATCTTTAACAAGAATGGCAATGTTACCAAATTTAGATCTTCAAAAATCTATGAACAAATATATTTTCCTAAAATATAAAAAAGTGTGGTTCACATTATGTTAGTCCACATACTTATTAATACTTACATTTGATTGATAAAACAGACCAACCAAAAATTGTCTTTAGATCAGTATCTTTAAAGAGAGACTTTCTCTCTCTGTTAAAAGAAACCCCAAATAAAACACAAGCAAACAGTCAATGGATACTCCAAAGCCAAAGAAAACTGCAACATCAAAAAGCCTGCCAACTTACTGCTTTGGAACCTCAGACAGTTATTGAGGATCCCCAGGGTTGTGCTGTTTAATTTCCTGGTTAAAGCAGGGTACTCTACAGCCTCCACTGAGGCCAGGCTGAACCAGAGACAAGGCTTTTCCATATGCACCAACCTATTCAGCCGCAGCTTCTCTTTTTGGGATGTGCTGATCAGTCAGAAGACACCTGGGCACTTTTTAATTCTGTCTGATTCAAAGAGGAAGTGTAAAGGTCATAAGTTTGTAGACTCTGCATCTTGTTTATTAAAAAATCAATGACCTGAGACTATCAAGTTTTCGATGTGCTGTGGACTGCCTAGCCTCCTGTCCTCCACCTGAGCCAGGACAAGAAATCAGGTATTGGGAAAGTTTTAAATCAGACCCTATTTTCTGCTGCTAGACAAACTACTCCAAGCTAAGGACTTCCATCTCTAGCACCATCTTACAAGGAAAATTCACCGTGGAGAGAAAAAAGGCCACACCACAAGTACTACTTAAGAATCTATAAATCATTTCCTTGTTTAAAATTGCATTAAAACACATACTCAAGTTAGAAAAGTTTTTTTGTTGTCACAAAACATAAGTTAAATATTTAGATTCAATTCTAGAGTTGAATATTTTTTGGCTGACTTTCTTTTTTAATTTAAAAAAATATATATTTTATTGATTTTCCAGAGAGAGGAATGGAGAGGGATAGAGAGCTAGAAACATCAATTAGAGGGAAACATCGACCAGCTGTCTCCTGCACACCCCCTACTGGGGATGTGCCCACAACCAATGTATATGCCCTTGACCAGAATCGAACCTAGGACCTTTCAGTCTGCAGACCGACGCTCTATCCACTGAGCCAAACGGGTTTCGGCTTGGCTGACTTTTGATGTATGATACATTCAGCTATTTAAATGGTAGAAAACAGGGGATTAAGTGATAAATATTTACGTGTAAGATGACCTGCTAATTAAGTTAAATTACTTCTTTTTCCCTCCACCATTAGTTGAAATGGGCCATTTTATCAAATGCCTGGCCTGTGAAAATGATTGAGAACTTAAACATAAAACAGAAGAATGTTAATCCTTAATACAGAACATAAATTATTCAGGACTGAGGTTACACATCTGACATATTTATGTATATTTTCCTTCATCTTATAAAAAACGGCAAGTCCAATGATAGTTGCCCATTTTACTATGGTCATTCCAGTTGCAATTTTCGGAGACAACAGACCTTAACTGTTTATAGAAAATACCTCCCCCTTTTTCCTCTTCATTTTTCTGGTCTTCTGTGCAGCTTCCTTGTCATACGACATATATACATATTTACATTTTACAATAGTGGATGTTGTATCTGAAATATTAATTATCTAAAACAGAATGAAATGCCAATTTCAACAAAAAATGTCCTTATATTTGTTGCATCGCATTTGCAAGAGTTAGGAAGGAGCCCTGGTTGACAGAGTTAAGTTCCTTGGACAAGAAAGATGTTTTGTTTTGTTTTGTTTTCAATTTCACACGGTTAATTAAGTAACCAATATTAACTTCAAATTCATTTTAATTTTTTAATATAATAAATTGAAGTTCCCCTACACACCAAATTAATGTAGTATTTCTTTAGTAGTGAATATTTTCTAAGTAGCCATAGCATTTTATATAGAGAGTAAGAACAGGTCTTTTGAGGGGAACTGGGATTTGGAAATGCAGATGGGGAGAAAGGATGCGGGGAGTATAATTAGAATCTGGTATGCTATGTACTACTTACCTTCAAAAGTCAAATAAAACTTTCCTCTGTCAAACCAAACGAGGGAAGGCTGTTCATTCTCTGTATGGCCAGGAGTTGAAGCGGGATGGGAAAGGTTAAGGAGAGGGAGAGAGAAGGACACAGTATGAGTTACAGAGCAGGTCATTAATCTCACTATGGGGGAGGGCGGAGGCACTGCATGCCATTAGCGTGCAGGGAAAAGGGAAGGCTGGCAATCTATGGGTGTTTATTTATTTATTTTTCTTTTTAGTTCAGGAATCAGAAAGCAAAGCAAAGCTATGGAGGCCTAAAGGGATGGGCACGTGTAGTCGGTAGCTTGACATTCGGCGCTTGTACGCATGGAGCGGAAGTCTTCCTGGCCATGCAGGGGAGTCAGCATATTTTAACTGCACTAGTTTGGGCAAACTGTCTTTCAGCAATTGCTGTATCCATTTCATCTTCAATGTCATCCCCTTCTATGTTTTAAAAAAGATAAACTTGGAGTTATGGGTCATATAAACTTAGCTTAGGTTTTAAATGACAACAGCATTGCATATCAATTTAATGTTCCTGGAAGATGTCATATATCTTCCATCCCCTTCCCTGGAATCACCTTAGGCATCCAGACACAAAACACCCTTTACCTATGTACCAAAGAGAAAACAAGATTACTAACGGTGCGCTATAATTTTTTTTTTTTAATTAAAAAGCAGTCACTGGACATGTAATTCTGAGCAGTTAAATTATTCCTTCCTTTGTAAATTCACAAAGCAATAGCATCTCACCTTTTTCAGACCTGTTCGCTGAGAAACTGTCATGCAACCTGCTGCTTTGTAAAATATGTTCACTTAACAAATCCAATGGCATGAGTTCCACAATGAACAACAAACAGACAGGGTGCATCTGAGAGGCACTGGACACTCATGAGGTGAGTAGCATGTCCATGACGTTTATAGCATTCAGATGGCATAATGGCTTGGATTTTTAACGTCTAGATATCTAGACATCACTCGGCTAGCACCATACCTGCCGGGGTTTCACAGCGCCTTTCAAATGAGGGCAGTTTGTCATAAAAAACATCATCTTCTGACACTACAGACCAAAGAAATATAAAGGGATGGAAAACAAAAAACACAAATACAAATCCCAAATGAAATCAAGGTCATACATTACTAACTGAAACACAGGGATGATTTTAATGGAAAAAGAAAACAAAACCTAGGACACTGAGATTATGATTAAGATATAAAAAAGCGATGTGCTTATTTCATGATGATGCTATAAGAAGAAACTATAATTTTAAAAATGACAGGTTTTAGCATCTGAATTGGCTGAACTCAGCTCCATAGAAGAAATCACATCGCCACCTTTAGGGAGCTGTTAAAGGTAGTATCATTAATAATTGACTTGTGCAAGTGTATTTCACTCAGACACAATTCTCAAGTGGCCAGACATATGTCCATCAACAGAACCTTAGCTCAACAGAATTACCCAGCATGCACTCTCCTCATGGGGAAAGAGGAAGCTTTTAACAAGTCCATAAAAAAGCAACAGTATAAATCTGAGGTCACTGAATGACACATTCTATTTCACCTTCATCAATATTCAAATTCAATTTGCCTTGTACCTGTCTTCGGTAGTTATGGACTGTTCATTTTGAACAGCATTATTGTAATTCCATCTTTGTCTATAGTGTGCAATTATGACCAAATGTCTATAAATTTGTTTCAACAGTTGCTCTGGACTCCGAGTGTTCTAGATCTTTGCCCATAGTCCCCCTTCTCACCAACTAACAAATGCAGATCAATTAGAGTATTATTCTATCTGATGAAAAAATAAACAAATGCAAGCCAATTGGAATATTATTCTATCTGATTAAAAAATAAACAAATGCAGGTCAACTAGAGTATTATTCTATCTGATTTAAAAATAATACCCATAGATCCTAAGGGTATTATCACAACTTCAATGAAAAGTTGAATAAAACCAGTATAAAGACCAGTAAGGGAGAATCCTCCCGACATGTAGCGAAGGTAAGGAAATGAATGAGGGTAGTAACACTACTCCATAAACAAGGTTTCTGGGAAAATATCCTACTAGCTTGTCTCTTAGACTTAGGGAGTAAGGCAGGGAAACTTTCTTTGTCAATTCCTAAGGTTCTAGGATATCACCTGTTTATCAGTTTTTATTATACATGTGTCTTTCTTGGAGGCTAGAACAAGTTAATGCAACTCCTGTAAAGTCTCTAGAAGAGGAACAGGACAAATGGAACTGGCACTAAGGAACACACTCCATAGTCTCTAGAAAAAATAGGAAGCAAAACAGTTACATTGGCAGTAACTGAATATAACAACAGTGCCTTTTCATACCCAGTAGTGGGAAATGACAGAGGATATTACTTTCTTTTGAAGAACTAATTTCCTTTTTACAATCTTGTTAAAATGAGGAGCCTCCAATACTGCCATTTGTTTTTTGCGCTGAAGTTACAAAATAATATTTCATAAGGGTTGATTAGTGTGCTGATGCTTTTTTTTTTATGCTGGTTGTAGACATCGAAGGCTTAGAATAAAACATCCTAAAAAAATCAGAGAACTCAAAAAGGAGTCATTGAATAGCTCTGTGCTTGGTTTAAATAAGGGCAATACTCAAATTAAATACAGAAGAAAACATTTCCTTAAGGACAAACCATGGAGATAGCCTCAACTTCATTTAGGAGGCGGACGCCAGTATTGGAAACAAGCTTTTCCAAAAAAATAGAAGAAAAAAGAAGAAGGTTAAAATTAAAGGTGGGAATTTTTAATTGAAATCAAGAATATCCAACTCCAAATGCCTGTTTTTCTTTTTGTGCAGGATAATTGCGGTTAATACAAGTATTTTTAAAAGAAAGCTTATCCAATTCAGAATTGGCCTCCACCTTGGAGAGACAAAGGCTTGGAGGAAATGGTTTAAGTTTTAGGTGCTATAATTAACACCCAGCACTGAATACAAAGTTCTACATCTATACCTAAGGAAGCATCAACATGCTTCCTTTGTTTCCCATAAGTGATTACTTCTCATTCATTCCAGGTTCCTGGGATATTAAAGAGGCAGATAAAAATGCATAATTAACAGTGAAGGAATATAATGAACAGTATTTAACAATGAAGAAAAATTATATTTACTCTGTTTTTTTATTGCACTGGAGTCTGAAACGAAGATATTGTAAGTATCTAAAAACAGTGACTATCATCTACAGAAATAAAAATGGATATTTACAATTAGAGATAATTCCCTGTTTATTTCTACCTCAAATATCTAGGAGTTTCTTATAATAGAATAATAACTTTATATATTTTCTATATTTCCATTAGATTTCTCTCAAAATCATAGAGTGAAAGTCCTGTGAGATTTTTCTGAGTGCAAAGAGTCTACTATATTGTCAGGTGTGACATCAGATTTACTGATTTATAATATTAAATAGGGGCATATTCTTACATGAACTGTCATGTAGGAAGACTAAACCTGCTCCTAAAATTTTATTCCTTAAATTACATTAAACTTTGATTATTGGTTCTCACCACATTTGCCCCAGTTTTGGCTCAAGTGTGACAGGACATGTAAAAAAGGTATCGTGGTGGTGGGAGGGACTTTGCTGCTATAATATCTCCCCTGAGCCATTTTACTTCATTAGGTTGACATTCCAAGACAGTCAGGAATAGTCAGTCCTTTGGTTCTGAACAGCCAAAGCATATCCTTTCCAAAAAGAGAGAATCACCAAGACTCAACAAGTTGCTGGGTGGCCAGTCATTTGACCATGTATTTACTTCAGTGAGAAGAGGCTGTCAGATGACCCACAGCAGCAGGGAATAAAGAACAGGAGAGTGAGGAATGTAGTGAGAAGATGAAAATGAAATTTAAAACAATAAAACCAAGCGGATTAAATCAAATGCTCCTCAGCAATGTGACTATCTTCTTAGATAGCTTTTTTTATAACCCCCTATGTGGTTCATTTTGAAAGAGTGTATACTAGATGTGTTCAGAACTAAAGTCACTGGCCAGAATTTGAGATTTCAGCAGCAGGGAGTATAAAAACACATTGTAGAAAGCATAGACACAGTTCAAATTTCCTGAGTGTGCAATTGAAAGAATACAGTAGACAGTCATCTGAGGTCACTTGAGGTTTGCTTTCTGAGTGACAGCTTATTTTTATTTTCCTCTTTGATCAACCAAGAACATCACATGGAGTGGGAAGGACAAATGATCTTGAGAAAAACAAGCAAACAACAAAAAACTAGAGCAGGAGTGGGGAAAATGAGTGTAACAGTCAAGAGTACAACGAGAGTTCAAAAATAATGTTGGGCTGTTACAGAAAAAAACAAACAAACCAAAAGTTAGAAATAAATGAACTAATAGGCATATAAAAATAGGAAGCCCCAATGTGCCCCAATCAATGATGCAGATAAAGAATACAGTTGGCTATATATACCCATAATAGTAAATATCTGTCTTGTTACTGCACCAAATGAAATTGGACATCTGACTATATTTTCACCAAATTTGAAGGATTATTTTAGACTGGTCTATATAGAGTATGTGATATAGTTGGACTTCTCTTTGGGGCCCCTAAAAGGCACACCTTAACTTATTCCACTGGAAAAGTAGGGATTCCCCCCCTCCCCCCACCCCAAAAAAAGAGCTTCAGGCTTTGATCAAGCTACTACTCACACGGCCAACTCTGTAGGGGGCTCTTGGTAAGTAGCAGGGATTTATTGAGCTTTGGTTAATGATTCTCCCAAGCAATGCAGAGAATTGGAGCTGGCTTATAATATGGGAGACTCGGAGGGGAGTTCTGACAATAAAGGAAGACAATGGGAAAACATGGAATGGGAAAGCCCCAGGTAAGAGATACCATGCAAACAGAAGAGGCAGCAGGAGCCTACAGACAAACCGTGAAGACCTTGAGAGGGAGACCAGCCTTGGGAAAAGGGAAGACACTCCTGGCAATGTGAGGCATTTAAACCTGGGAAAACCATCCAGCTGAGCAGCCATTCTCAACTCTTCACTTTCACCACACCATAAGGAGAGGCTCAAAGGCATTTACTGAAAATGCCAGCAATGATTTATTTCTCAGGGAACATTGACCACATATCACTGAAAAGCACTAGAAAAACATGTCAGAAACTTTGCTCAAATTCCACAACGCCAATGTGTATAGCTTCTGTCAACATAAGAACAACCAAAACTGATGTAGAAATGAAAGCTCCAAGAAAATAAAAATTCTAAATTTTGTGGTTTCTGAGGTGGTGCACAGTTGGAATTTAAATGAACAATTCCCCCTCAAAGGAGATAATTTAGATAATAAGAAATAGTACCTAAATTACAGAACCTTATGTGAAGATTTCTTCCTTTCTTTTATGAATAGTTAGGTATGGAATAGCATAAGATAATTCCTGTAATACACAGGTGTTAATTTCCTTTTATGTATATGCCTAGTTGAAGCACTTTGCCTCCTTTGCTGGGAAGGTGCTTTTAAAAGAAGAGTCAGATGACAGTAGCAAAACACACAGCAAAACAATTCTGACCAGAAAAATAGGCCTCAGGATTTCCAGGTCATAAATATAGCCAGTCAAAACCACCAATGGATTAAAAGAGAGGAGATAACGTTTACCAACTGTGGGAGTGGTGGCTGCGCTCAGGGAATTGGTGGACGATATTGAAGAAGTGCTTTCAGCCCGCGCTAGGGGTGCTATTGGAGGAGGGCTGGAGGAATGGATGGGAGGGCTAAAAGGTCTGGGCTGCAGAGAGAAGAAAAGAGATGGAAAATTAGATACACAGGTCATAGTACTTTCATTCCATATTTTTCATGACTCCAAGTCCCAGCTATAACAACCCAGGTTCTTAAAAGTACAGGAGACACCATTTTTACACTGAAATTGATTATATCGACACCAGAGCTTGTAGAGGGAGCTAGAGGAACCATAAACCACAAAGTGCTCCACTCAATAGGTGAGGCCGAGAGGAGCTGAGACCTGTGATGAGGTCAGCGGTGTTTCAGGACTGTGAACTCACATGCTCTCAGGGACTACGCAGGTAATACAATCTGAGAGCTTAAACCCACGGAAAGACATCCGAATATAAAATGCTGTAGTGTGCTAGCTAAACCAAATATTATGAACATCACCAGTTTATGGCTCCTGTGCATAGATTCCAAAGCAATTTACCTCCACTAGAAGTCTCCTTATTGTTCACACAGAATCTGTTCCACCCCTTAGCCTGAAATAGGATGTAAGAAACTTCTAGAATAAACTCATTGGACCACCAACTGCTTTATAGCTACATAGGGTGCCTATCATCAATAACTTCTCTGCAGTATAGAGACAGAAATCAGGACTTGCCCTCTCTTGGGGTCTTTGAAAAGCAAACAGATATGGTGAAAAGAAACACCTCCCTTTCTAAAGATTTAGCATAATTGAGCATGACTGTCTTGATTTGCATCAAACCCACTCTAGCAAAACTGATGGCCTAGCGTTCCTTTTCCTCCCATTTTAGACCCTGCCTTGCAGATGGTAGTGTTTGAGGAAGCTTGAGATGTACAACCATACTGTAGCGACTGCCCTTCAGATGCCACCTGTCAGGGCCATTTGTACAAGTGACCTGAGGCTTGGACCGGAAGCGGAGATGGCCTGTGGGAAGGTTTTTCACTCCTATTTGTCACTCTCACCATGAGTTTCTGAGCAAGCAGGGCAGAAGGGAACATACCACATCTCCAACTCCAGGTTTTCCTGGGGGGAGCTTTGGCCGAGATGGAGGCCGGGGAGGCGGTGGAGGAGGGGTGGTGCTGCTGCAAGGAACCAAGGGAGTGGCTGGCCGAGCAGGGGACGATGCACCTGAAAAACAAGCTGGTGTTAAAAGGGGATGGAAATAGGTGGCCAAAGTGCTGTCATCACTGAATCTCTCCTTCCCCATCCCCACAGAGCAATGCCAGTCCCAGACACTTTGTTTTCACTTCAGCCATTACTATATTCAACACTATAGCAGGTGGTATTTTTTTTTTTTAATACAGAAAAAAAAATCACTCAGTTGAATTGTGGTTGATGGCAGAAGCTGAAGCTCATTGCCTTTTGTTGTCATGTGACACCCAGTGAAAGGTAAATCTTTTACTTAATGACAGCAAATACATATTTTAAAACTCGTTTGGATCGGTGGAGGGTAGCTTTCATTCTGACCACATACCCACCAAATATTCTTTTTGCTTTTTGCATATTTGGCATTTACTTATGTCCTAGATGCAAATGAAAGTTAGAACTTGAAGGAAAATGAATGATTTTTCCACATTATTTAAACATGTATAAGATAATTACCCTGTTAACTATGCTTCAAGATATGAGTGCTAACTTTAGAAATGTAAGCAAACACTTGTTGGTAAGCAAAGGAAAAATGTAGTAAGGTACATTAGCTGTTGTATGAGCATTTTGTGTTTAGAAGCTTGACAGAAACACATTGAATTGAAAGGATTTTCCGTTTTGAAGGAGGCTGCTTAGGAATCTGATCCACATAGACTTTGTCCAGAATGATTTTTGGGATGATTTTTAAAAGAGTCTCTTGGATTTACTTTTCTGGCTGTCAATGACAAACATGTGAAACACAGACGACACACAGAGGCGGGCATGCACACCAATCAGCACACCAGCAGGGTCTCAGACTCAGGGGCCTATCTCTCATCACATCTGTGTCCTGGATTCGTGGGTAAACTGCTTGGCTAAAACCCTTAAGTAAGTCAAACCAACATCCCAAAGAACTCTTGTTCAAAAACGTTGCAACTACTCCAGATGTCTTGTCACTTTGCTTAGTAGTACAGGTGTCAAATCATTTAAAGAAAATTCTAAGAAATCCTGCCCCAGGAAAATACCCACCTCCCTCCCCACCTCCTTCCAATAAGCCACAAAACTGCTCCCTGGAGAATCCCAGACCAGCAACTCCTTCTCCAGATTTTCAGATTCTCAAAGAAGTTGAACAAACTCATCATCTCAGCATCTGCTCTCATCTTAGGAGAGTCCCTGGGGGCCGACTTTGCTCCTCTTGTTTGGACAGCCTGAAATCTTGAGCATGTTGTGTTTCTCTGTGCTGTTTATTCTAAGTAGAATTTCCGTAGTGGGAAATCCAAAAATAATTTCAACATCCCCATCCCTGCACCCACCTCCTCTCTATCACTACCACCTTTTTACTATATTCTTTTATTTTATCGGGTCAGAATCTCTGTTAGCCATTATCTTATTTTTATCTCCGCAGTAAGCATTAGAGGAAGGTCTTGTTACTGTTTCAATGGAAAGTAAAGCTCAGAGATATTCAGTAACTTGCTGAAGCTCACACAGCTCAAATGATTGATTTAACTCCAAAACTCAAGCTCAAATGCAATGTCTTGTAGCATTGAGTTCAACACCTTGCATAAATTAGCCTAGTCCTATTTTTGCATGGGCAACTTGCACACATACATCTCTCAATATGAATATTATTAGTCTTTTTGCTAATCTTCTCTTGAACAACAACAAAAAGGGGGGGGGGTTATGTTTTGACAAGTCTCACTATAAGGATTTCTTTCAAGTTAATAAATTTACACCGAGGATGGTTGCAGAAAACAGAAGTGACAGCAAAGAGATGGGAAATAAGCTTTTAAACAGCCAGCTTTGTCAGGAAGTCCCCTGGGGCTTTTGGGGAGTTCTATTTTGCTGGAAAACCATGCACAGGAATGGCTCAAAATGTCTATTCATGGGTCTACTTCCAAAAAATAATGTTCTGAATCAGTCTCAGAAAAGGTCAGCTACTTGTCCTTTTCCTACATGTTCCAGAAGGGAAATTTTAAAGACTACTTTCAATAATGCTTGGGGAAGTGTAAAAGGATTATCATCAAGGCGTATAGAATACTGAAAAAACTGGATGAAAAGACAGATTATCCGAATTGGCCCTGCCTGCCTCTTATCAACCAGGGAATCTTAACCTCTCTGAATCTCAGCTTCCTGTTTTAAAAAATGAGACATCCTTCTCCCTTATAAGGTAGTTGCAACAATCAAAATGGAAAATGCTTATGAAACTATAAAATGCTATAAAAATGGAAGGCAATAGATGATGATGAGGGTAAAGATGTGTCTTTTGATAAAGATAATACTAAAGCAAGGAAAGAAGAGGCTATTAGCTGTTTTTCTTTATGGACACTTTATTTAACTCACTTCTTTTCCCTCATTGGATTGACTTAATTACTTTGTTATGAAGTTAGAGGACACTGAGGGAGTGTTTAAGAACCCAACCTTTTTTGACAGAACCCTTTGTGACTAGGGCCAAACCCTGAGGACCAAGAGAGGATATTCAGGCCTCAGGGGGTATTTCACAACTAAACTAAGGCTTCCCAGGCTTTTGTGAGGTTACATGATTATTTAGTATTATAAGAGCTAGAGATTATCATTTATATGTGTCTATCATTCTCAGTTCTTCAATTATACTTTCATTTCCCCTTCTAGCAGTGTTTATTCCCAAGAACCATGCTGGAAAATAATGAGACAACATCTCCAGTTAAGGCTTAACTTTAAAAAAAATCACATGTATATTATCTGAGTCTTGTGAGTTCAACAATGTTGGCAATCATTGACATATTCTCAACACATATGCTGTTCTTAACCTGAAGTTCCATCATAGTTTCTCTGGTAACTCTTGAAAACAATACAATTATAGCTTCAACTTTCATCTCTCTTTGTGTGTCTAAGTGGGTGGGTGAGAATGGCAGTGGGAGCACTGGGGGAAACATGGTAACTGGAATCCAAGAGTCCTGGGGTCAGATCCTGGCTCTGTTACTTATTAGCTTTGTGACTATGGCCAAGTTCCATCTTTGAGCTTCTGTTTCCTTTCTGTAAAATGAGGCGAATGCACCCCAATGCTGTGGGAAGAATCAAGTGAAATAAAATATATGCATTTTAAAATATGTAAGAATCTAAACAGCCTTTTTCAATTGTGTTTCTTAGAACACAATTCCATCATGCATTTGAAGCAAGTATTAAGTATGTGTGGGAATGGTTACAAACTATGTTTCTTTTTCAGTGTCCAGCACATTACAAGTCCTAAAACAGCCCTGTCCCATGGAGCTTTCTGCAGTGATGGAAACTGTTCTAGAATGAGTGCTGTCCAATTGGATAGACACTAGTCACATGTGCCCATTGAGCACTTGAATTGTGCCTACTGCATCTAAAAAACTATTTTTCATTTTAATTAATTATAATTAAGATTAAAGTAGCCACATGTGGCTAGTGGCTTCCATATGGAACATTGCTGCTCTAAAAAGACGTGTAATTAGGAAATATATTTGACTAATTCAAACCCAGGTACCCCAAACTCATTTGCTTATGGATGTGTGTGTGTGTGTATGTATCTGTGTCTAACATCTTTTAGTATTGCTTTAGTATCCCAAGTTGGAGAATGTTGCACAGAAGAACATTCCATCTTTACTAACATCTCTCTTTCCCTGGCCTCCATATTTGCTGCAGGCCAATAAGACTCTTTCTCCTCCCCATCCCCTGGCAGACAACCACACAGAAGAGAGAGCCTTTGCCAAAATCAGAGTTTGCATTCCAGAAAAGCCATGTTCAGGCCAAGCTAGGTATTTTTAATTTTTGCCACAAGGAAATTAAACATCTTCAAGTAAATTCTTAACTTCCAACTGTTTTTCAACAGCTTTTGATTGACAGCTGCCTTGTGAGAATTGCCTATAATTGGTTGGTGACAGTTACCTTGCTTTGAATGAGATTTTTTAAAGTGAGCATAATGGTATTCAATGAAACAAAGCAAGACCTAAGTGTTATAAAGAGCAGGGAGTTAAAAGCATTGCTACTTTTTAAAACATGAGGCCATATCCTATTGTTGTAATCCTAAATTCACATTTCTGCCAGTCTGTGTAGATTCCATCAGTAAAACCTTAAGCAGCAAATAAACTGGGATTTAATTGAAGAGATAATGGTGCAAAGTTTCATTTATTCATGAGCTTCACTGGCTCGGTCCAATCTGTCACTTAGAAATTCAATCCTTTAATACCAGCAAAGTATAGTGTTTTTTTTCCAGCTCAATTATTAAGAATCAACAGATTTTACTAGCAGCATGTTCAAGTAATTAAAATAAGGGTATGGAAGCTAAACATTAAAACAACAACAAAACTCCCAAAGGTTCCAGAAAGAAAGACAAAGCTCCTCTCTCCACTGATTACACCAGTGGTCTATTCACTTACAGACATCTTCCAGAGCTTGTGGAAGGCAGAGGAGGAAACAGATGAGAAACAAAGCTTCCCTGTCCTCTCCTCTCCCCACAAGAGCTTAGTGGCCTGCTACTGGAGAGAGGACATTATTTCTAGAAAAAACCCTTTCAGAAGACTGAGAGCCTGGCCCAGGAAAGAGCCCCACGAAAGACAACAGAAATGTGCCCTTCTTCCACAACAGACCATAGTCTCTGGATTTTGGTCTAAACTAACGGCTTTACCTAGGGATCCTTTACTATCTTTACAGAGAAGATGGGAGCTTATATCCCAGAAAAAGACTTAAAAAAAGCAACAGAGGATGACGGTGGATGCTTTAACCTTTTAGAATTATAGAGATGAGCACTGAGGGGTATGTTTTGAGAGAATATTGGTGATCTTATTGATACAGTGCAGGTGGGTGTCAATTATCAAATAAGTTTGGGGTACTTTGTAACTAAACCTTAGAAGAGTGCCTGTAGACAACAGTGGTTACAAATTCTAGTTATGGATTCTACAGACCTGAGTATGAACCCCAAGACTATCATCTCTAGCTGAGGAAATGTGGGAAAATTACTGGATACCTCTGAGCCTCAGTTTTCCCATCTGTAAAGTGGGGGAAATAAGAGTAACTTCCACATGGTGTTGTTGTGAGTATAAAATAATATGCCCTTAGCATGGTGCCAGGACAAGAAATTATAGCTGTTGCAATTACTGGCAAAATAAAGACTCTCAAAGGTCCTATGGTAAAAAAAATTAACAAAATCTAATTTTGTTTTAACACATGCTTTTCAGACTTTTTTGAGTATTGAATAGTTTTCATTTTTTATACTTACAGAGGAACTTGCACACACAGAGCAAGCACTGAAAGGTACTCCAATGGAAGAGGCAGAAATGAGGACTATTAGAATAGATACAAATGTCTTAACTAACTTAGACTTGGTGTCCTCTTTCAAAGCAAATAAAAAACAAATAGCACATGGCACCCCAGGAAGGTGCCTGAACCAAACCCTCAGGCATGGGAGGGTCTTGCCAGGCAAAGGTGTACACCAGTGGGATAAACAGCATGGAAGAAGATGCTGGTCTTTCTTTGGTATGCATGGCAGGTTTTCCCCATCTTTTCATAGTGATAGATCACAAGAATGAAGCTTCAAATAAGGAAAAAAACAAAAACTCAGATTCAGTGTCAACATATGTTTCGGATGGCCTTTCCCATCATCTGTCACCACACTTAGAGATGACAGGATAGGCTGATGAGCACATCAAAATGAAACCAGAGACCAATTTGTCTTTAGTGGCATCTTAATTAGGTTGGGGATATAGTGAGATATCTTCTTTTTGCTGTCCCCTATAAGCTCATTTTCTAACTTTGTTTTTCTGAAATAAATTAGAGAGGCTAACATGGTTCTCCTCTCACACAAAAAGAAAGAAAAAGAGAAAAAGAGAGAAAAAAACAAACAAAACCACACCCCACATTGGCTTACAAAAACTAGAACTCTTGAGAAAAAGAAATTAATTAACTTGATCTGGGGAATCCTTTTACAATATATATGTATAATATATCGAATCATCATGTGTATACTTTTAATAGTTTACAATTTTATTTGTCAATTATACCTCAATAAAGCTGAAAACAAAACAAATTAAAAATAAAACAAAATAAAACTAGGGTCATTGTGGAGACATCTGACGAAGAAATCAGACATTTTACATAAAACTTACCGACTATGAAATCTGTTTTTCTAGAACTTTCCTGAATTCCAAACAATGACTTCATAGCTTTGCTTAAAAACATACACTCCCTAACTGCAGGGTGGGAGGCTGGGCAGAACACATCCACAGACTTGCACTATGACTGCGAGCATTCAATGGACTAGGACATGCCATGGGGCCACAGGGCACCTGAACCACAGGAGGGATGACAGAAGCGCTATAGGCAACTGCCAGGAAGGAGGGTGTTGCTCAGACTACAGCAGCCATGGCCATTCCCAGTCACATGAAGCACACTCAAACAGTAAGACGTACCACTGGTGGTCCCCGTACCACTGCCAGAGCCAGGTCCGGGGGATGATACCACAGTTCTGTAGGTGGGTGGTGGTGGGGGAGGCGGAGTTGCTCTCTGGCCCAACCCAAAATCTTTAGGAGATGAGATTGTTTCTAAGTAATCATCTTTAATGAAGCTCTGCTCAGCGACTTTCTTCTGGACTTCTTCTAAATTGAGCGGCGATGGTACGTTTCGCAGAGGGCCAGGGGGCTCAGGAGGGCCTGGGGGGGCTGGAGGACTTGGGGAGCCCAGAACTGGGGAGTCATCTGGTTTATCTGATGCAGCTGGTGGGGATACCACCTTTTCCCTTGGAGTCAACTCTGGAGTAACATGTTCCGGGGATGTATCAGAAAAATGGACCCACTTTTCTTCAGCATTAACAGCAACAGACTTGGGGGACAACACTGGGCCAAAAATGCTGTCCAGGTCATTGATTGATGGTAGTTTTTCAACTTTGACCTCTGTGGCTGACTGGTCATTTCCTGTGGTTAAAGTAGTTGATTTTAAATTTTAATTGAGTTTAATATTATTTTTAAGGAAGGTGGAGTGGGAGGGGTGAGGCCAAGCTTGGTAAATACGTAGATGGCCTTCCTAGGTGCCTCACTGGGCATATTTCATGATGTAAAAGTATCTTGATTGGAGCTGAAGGGGAGAGGAGGATTCCCTGCCTCCAGAATGTGAGCATCATCTTTCTTTGTGATTATCTACCCTGCCACAGGGTGACCCCCGTTAGCTACTTTTACCATCATGGAAAGTGCTGAGAATGCTGTGCTCTCAGGGGCTGCTCCCAAGAGTGCAGAGTGTGATCATTCTGAGGATGCAGTGCTAGAGTCACTGAAAATAAGATTTGGGGACTACAAATGCCCAAAAGGCAGTCCCTTGTGAAAATCTGGCCCACTGGAATGCATGTAATACAGTAAAAAAAGGGTAGCTGAAAAATCACCCTCACATTTGATGATCTACTCTAGCATATTAAATAAAAATGTTTGGTGAAACTAATTATAATATCTGTTAGTTTAAAAGAATAGCACATAATTAGCTGTATATCTTCTGCCTTAAATATACTAGAAACACAGTACAAAGATTATTTAAAGGATAGCTCCACATTTATATTATACACATATATACACACACAACACATACATAGGTTATTGAGAAGACATTCACTGCTTATTAGAATTGTTACATACAGATATACCTGTTTCCCATGGAAGGAAATTATAAAAACATCTGTATAATTTCTTTTTTCATAAAATCTAACTGGTTAACATCAAAAGCATGACTGTGAGATAAAAAAGAATAGCTGATATTAATATTTATCAAAACATAATTTTCTGTCTTGGGACTTCAGATATATATTTATATATCCCGAGACAGAAAATTATGTTTTGATAAATATTAATATCAGCTATTATTTTTTATTCTTATCAGTCATATGAAAAAAACCCTCAAAACTACCTTCTAGACCTTGGTAGGAAAGATTTGATAACAACTGTAGTGTGAGGAAGTGTACTTTTTAAAAACTGAGGCTGTTCAAATTAAAAATTGTTACCTAAATAATTGCAAGGCCTGAGCAGAAGCAACCAGCTTAATGCTTCCATATTTCACATTTGAAAGGAGTTCACATTCAAGGTTCCAAGGCTATAGATAAATGAGGCAGCAGTTTCCATAGCCCACAATATCTATAATTTCAGGTAAATTTATTTATATGTAACATATTTATGGAGATAACAAGAGGCCAAAATGCTTTGAACTTGCAAACACCTTTCCTGATGACACTCTGGATTTGGATTTGAGTCAATATAAATTTCATAAATGACTGTGTTTTGCATTTGCTCTTGTTGATAAATATCCCACTCTGTACCTATCAAACTCACCAGGCTGCATAAATAGCAAAGGATGATGCATGGAGCTGCAATAGCATTCCAAAGGTGATAAAGAAACATTCTGAAGGCCCAGACACATAAAATAGCCATTACTGCTTTTGTCTTGCTAGCCAAAAAGACTAGGTAGATTATAAATTGGATATGTAGCATTGACTTTAATAGAAGAACAAGATGTGCCTTAGAAATTATCTAACGGCATGCAGCACTTGCTTATTATATGTCATCATCTTTGCACATCTTTTTGCCATGGGAAAATAGGTACTTTTATGATTACTAAGAAAAAAATTCCCCACCGTCTGAGCTTACCAGTATGCTGCACATCCTGGAAACTATTTCATGTCTTTATAGACTAAACAGTTTTTAATTCTGGCAAAAATGTTTTCCATTCTTGGAAAATTAACAGTTGTGTCTTGAGACTATTAATTTGCATATCATGAAAATGAGATTCAACGTAGTGACATGCCAATTAAACAATGACTTTCGACATTGAGATTTTTTTTCTTTCATTTTACAAGTAAATGTGACCCTCATTCAGCAATAATATACAGAGGAAAAATTAGTTGAGAGAGTGAATATTTTTGTGAAACTTGAGAGTGACTCTTTAAAATAAGCCTTCGTGATAGAGTGTAATAGAAAAGTAAACGCAAACATTTTCATGGTTAGTCTAGTCTATAGCTTACAACATATGATGGGTACATCAAGGCCCGGGGATACCGTTCTGATTGCACATCATCCTGGAGCAGAAAGGCTTACCTGGTCCAACTGTGAGAGGGGAGCCAGTTCGGGGTGGGGTGGCTGGTACATTTTTTGGAGGCAGTGGAGGAGGTGCTGCAAAGAGATGAGAAGCCAAGCATTATTGATTACTTTCTCCCTGAGTTACACAATATTCTGTAGAGAAGCAGGACTTAAGTTTTCATTTGTATTCTTGCTCTCAGAAACGGAACAGCCATTAATGGTCTAAATATTTTTTTAAATTCAAAGCTAAGGGACTGATGCAGGACCCACTCAGATTCTTCCACTTTATGATAATAAAAATTTGCCAAAAGAATGTCAGATAGTAACCATAGTATTATCATTTTAATAGTTCATTACTATATGACAAACCTCTTATATCCTGTACTCGGAACTAGGTACATAGGGTTGAATAAAAGGAGCCTCTGCCCTCAAGGAATTTCTAACTTAATTAGGTATTTTGTTAACACAATACCTAATTGAGTTCTCATTTCAATAAAGGTATCATAGCAGATGTGCATGGGGAAAGCACTCCTTAAAAATCCTATGGGAGAAAGACTATTTGGGGATGGTGGGGGTTGCCGAGGGTATTTTAGCATCCAGGGTGTGACTAAGGAAAAGAGAACAGCTTGGCTGGGGACTCAGGTGAGAATTCTTAAATTATCATAGTTGGGATATTATATCCAGTCTTTGGAAATACTAGATCACATGGCTTTATATGGATTGAGTCTAGAAAGATTTCTCTAAGTTATATGTCTTAAATTTTAGTATATTTTTGAAAGTCTGAAGCAAAATGATTTGAATCAAAGAAGAATGAACATTTTACCTTGGTAAAACTTACAACAAAAAATACTCCTGAAGATAAAAAGGTATTGTGTTATGGCCCTAATCCTTCTGAACTAGACTTGTCATTTTGTAGGCAAAATTAGGAATTACTACTTCAACAGTACTTTTGTTTTTATCCTTTCTTTAAAATAATGTTTTCTTGTTACTGGTCATATTTGTTATATCCAAAATGTTCATCCCACTGCGGTTCTAATCCTTTGGAAATACATCTTTGAAAGTTCAAGATTAAAAAGTGTTGATTTTTTTCCTGCTTTATAAAGGAAATATTCTCAGAAGGAATGGATCACATGGCTTTACAGCAACATTTCCAACAAACAGCCTCTTGGGCTGTTGATTAGGAATCCCTTGGTTAATCCCAATGATTATTTTTAGGCATCAAAAAGCAGAGCCCTGGGGATGCTGACTGGAAAAAGTATTAATTGGTCTCTATGCGAACCTCACAGAGTAAAAATACCCTCGGCATCCCCCCACCATCCCCAAACACCTTTCTCTAAGATCCAGTCTTCCTCCCATAGGATTTTTAAGGAATGTTTCCCCTTGCATATCTGCTATGATACCTCTACTGAAATGAGAACTCAATAAATCCACCTGACAGGTGGTTTGACCTAATGAGCAATCCATTCAGCCCCCAAAGCCTAATTCATTGCAGGCGAAGGGCTCTAAAGATATTCAGGATCTGGAATGGGGAGGGGCATGCTGGAATAAGGTGGGCTGATGGCCCAGCGTTGAGATAAATTTGTACAGATCTCTGTCTCGGCTTCTCTCTACCATATAGCATCATTTCTCTTGCTCTCCATTCATCACTCTCTCCTCTCAATGTGGTCTTTCTATGCTATGCAGCCTCAGTTGTTCTGTAGGACTAACAGAAACCACACCTGACCTGGTGCTATGTGGTACCTCTGTGTTATGTTATAGCCCATGCCTGGAGCATGGTAGGTTTTTTTGCTCACTTTCTTTACACTCTTACATAATAAGCACACTGAATGCATGACTAAATGAACGAATGAATAAGTGAGTCTATGGAATATCAGAAGAGACTATGATCCAAAGTTACTGATTTTACTTTATTTATGTTATTCCTGCCTTGACAACCTGCCTTGGCCCCTTTAACTCTAAAGCCTGTTAGAACAACATCTTTTCTGAATACTATACAGTCCAAATGCTGCTTACGTAGACTTTCTAAAAGTTGCCTAATTTCACTATGCAGACAGACAGTAAAATGAGTCACTTATTTTTCCAGACAGAACAGGCACATAACTTACTTCCAGTGGGAAAAGGCCTTGTTAACTTTGGCGACTCCATGCTTGGAATAACTGGTTGGCCTGAACCCCATATCTCTGGCTGATCTAAAAGAACTGGAAACATTAAAAAAAAAAAAAAATTCCAGACTGAGTTTACAAAAGAAATACCCCTATATTTTAGAACTTAACATTTCAATTTAAAGTTGAACTTCCCAAAATTACTTCCCTCCTGCCTCAGAATTAGCAAATTAATCTAGGAACATGCTGCTCCTCATCCTTTACAAGCAGAAAATGGAAATAGGAGTGGGGTGTGTGTTTTTGTATGCGTACAGGAGAGTGTGTGTTTACATACAGCTAAATAAAAACTGCATTTTCTTTCTGGTTGATCACTCAAGCACATTCTGAATACACTAACACAGCTTCTGGTACCTATTTGAAAATCCAGCCACTTATCCCATGGAAAGTTGCTTTAAGTTGGTTTAAAATTTGCTAGGAATATGTTTCAAAAATTAAAATGCCTGGCCGAAACCGGTTTGGCTCAATGGATAGAGCGTTAGTCTGTGGACTGAAAGGTCCCAGGTTTGATTCCGGTGAAGGGCATGTACATTGGTTGTGGGCACATCCCCAGTGGGGAGTGTGCATGAGGCAGCTGGTCGATGTTTCTCTCTCATCAATGTTTCTAGCTCTCTATCTCTCTCCTTTCTTCTCTGTAAAAAATCAATAAAATATATTTAAAAAAAAATTAAAATGCCTGGGTTCTTTCTATATAATGGCTTGTATCTTTAAAGGATCTTCTAGGGTCTTTAAATAAACCTTTCATAGCATCAGAGAAAGAAATTAAATGATCAAAAATTGTTTGGTAAATACTTAAAAAAAAACAGAAAAATAAACAAGTGCTTAGACACTTAAGTAAATCAGAGCAATTAGATATTGAACCTAAGGACATTGAATTTAAGATTTCTTCTACTTGTTTTATCTTCTCCTTTTGATTTTTTTTATTGCTATGGTAACAATGAAAATAACCAGCTCTTTCCAGCACGTATCATGTATCAGGGGCAATATAAGTACTGGTTGTAATTCATTATGTTGTGAAACACAAGCTGGAAAGTTAGTTGAATGTGGATTTGAATGCAGCCTCCATACTTATTATATACCCTGGGCAAGTCATTTAACCTCTGAGCTTCCCTTCCTTTAGTGTAGACATAAAAGCAATCTCAAAGATTTACTAAATTATTTGAAAAGTATAAGTATAATGTATACAAAATGTATGTAAATCACTTACCAAAAGGCCCATAGCTATTACTATATATATTTAATTCTCAAAATCTCACCATGTGAAAAAAAATACCAGCATGTGGTTGGTATTAGTACCATTTTCAGCAGAAGAAACCAAAGATTAGAGTGATTAAATAACTTGCCTAAGAACATACATGGTGAACACAAAGGAGCTAAGATCTGATCCCAGGCATGCATTCCTGACTCCAAAATACATGTACTTTCCCAGGCTTTTAAAACTAGTGATAGAAAAATCAATAAAAAAAAGTGAGAGTGTGTAGATATGACAGGTAAATGTGGGTATTGGAAGAGCAAATGTGCTTGGTGCAAATGTTGGAAATTCACTGAATTTCTGGGGCCAAAACTTACTAAAGAGCAATCAAGCCAGGCTCACTGACAAGTCCAGGGGTGTATCTCCCCTCCATCATAAACCTCATAAATGGTTTTAGCTCTGTTTTCTTCTAACATAAAAGTAAACATTGTTTAAGGATGTAAAGCAGCAATTTCTTTGTATGAATTCAATGTTGAATACCACCTTGGATTTTAAGAACTGTTTTCTATTTTGTATATCAGGTTTCCATATAGTTATGAAATTCCTTTAATAGGTAAGATTCAAATAATACAAATCCAATCCCACTTTCAGTTACTACGTGATTATGTCCTTAAGAATAGATGATCACAGATAGAGACCTAAGTTGTGGACAAATCACTGAAGGAATATTTAGGGATGCTTATGATACATTTTCCTAACCAAATCATTGAAAACTGTTCAGATGTGGCTGACTGCAAGCTGCCTTCCAGCATTCTCACCATTTCTTCATAGTTAAAGAGTTTTAGCTGGCACTGTGGCATAGGATCTGTTATGGGCTCTGGTTGAAAGTGATGTATGTCTCTTCCAGATTTTGCTCTTACAAGAATTGGCAGTGAGGTCCTTTGGCCTTCCCAACCTTACTCCCCCTTCTTCTTATTGGGAGATGATGGGAGCTGAAGCAGCCCCCTCAGACCCAGAGATGAATAGCAGAGCCAACCTACAGTCCTAAATTGTTTACTTTGAGACTGTTAACATGAAAGGGAAATAAAATTATATCTTGTTGAAGTCACTATATTTTGGCACCTCTTTGTTACAGTAGCTTAGCTTATTTATTATGGTTTTTAAGTCTTGACCTTAACACTTAAATTTAATTTCCCTCACTAATGGATCCTAGAAAAATAATACTTTTTAATATATGTGCCATAGTGTTCTTAAATTATTTTTATAAGAGCATTTTATATTACCAAACACAGCTACTGGAGATCTGATGATACATTAAAAATATGCTTCAAAACATATATATTTACTTTAAGTTAATGAAAAGAAAAAAAATACAGATATATACATTTTTCCTACCTTCTGTCTTCTGTTCATCAAAAGCTGATTCTAATGGTGGGCCAAAGAGGGGAGCTAAGGCCATAGTGTCATCTGGAGGTTTTTTGCTAAATCATACACATTAAAGCAAAACATAAAGAGAATATTAATGGTGAAAAACACATACATGTTTTCACAATAAGGCAGATGTACGTGTGCACTTGTGTATGTATGTATGTATGATAGCATGCATGTATTTAAATTCCCATAGGTCTAGAAAATATATGTAAGGATGTCAAATGTATTATGGACAAGAGAGTTGGTAGGAGATGAGATCCCTCAATGGGAGACCAAGGTGTTTTTTCAGTAACTTGAAGGAGTGAACCTCTACCTAGAAGAGATACGTTTATTGCAAAGGACCTTACTCTCTCTCAAGATCCCCAAAACTACCCCAGCTGGTTTGGCTCAGTGGATAGAGTCTCGGCTGGCAGACAGAAGCGCCCCGGATTCGATTCCAGTCAAGGGCACATGCCCGGGTTGTGGGTTTGATCCCCAGTATGGGGTGTGCAGGAGGCAGCCAATCAATGATTCTCTCTCATCATTGATGTTTCCTATCTCTCTCTCCCTCTCCTTTCCTCTTTGAAATCAATAAAAATATATTAAAAAACAAAACAATTAAATGTTCCCAAAACACACAGCTCTAAATGTAGAATATAGGACTCTTCTAATTTAAAAAAGAACAAAAAATCTCCACCCACTGATATTTGTCTTCACCACACCCCTGTGTATAGTTAATGCAGTTTATAATTAGTGAGAGATAGGTCAGGGAGGCTAAGTGATAAGCCACCCAGGAAGTTTGTATTAAAAGAAACTGGGTCTACCAGCTTCTAATTGCATGTATCCCTGCCTCCTACCCAATAGACTAGTTATGATCTCTTAATACCGTAAGATAGCACATCTCGGAAAGAGAAAAAGAGTACTGAGAAATCAGGGAGGAAAAGAGGGTAATAAGTTAAACTCTTTCCCTTTTCCCAATGATTATTTAAACTCATTATTAATGAGAAGTTGCATAATCTTCACCATTTCTTCCCCAGATTAATCCTAATTAGTTCTCTGTGTGGGTGGTGGGAGGTAAGAGGTGAAGGGGAGAAGGGAAGGGTTGGAGAAGCAGAGAAACCAAAAAAGATTCATCTTTTAAATAGGAGTCTTTTTGGGAAACAATGTCCATTTTGTATATTTGCTTAATCCAATAAATACACAGTATAAAATACAATGTTTTGCCCCAAACAAAAACAAAACAGAAGATTCCTTTGATGTGTGGCAGGTAGAATGTATCATGAAATTGTATCCAACTAAACAGGCTACTCTTTGTAGGAAAATATAAACATATTTCAGCTTGGCATCCAGACCCCAAAGGACCTCTTCATACAGATTTTCAGTCTTGCCATTAGCGAGGGTCTGCTCATTCTGATATTATAGTTACTGAGGGTGACTACAGAGTCCTTTCCTAAAGGTGTCTCTCAGGCTGCACTTATGAGAAACGATAACATAAATGAATCACACTATGAACTTACACACAATGGCAGGTCCTGTTGTAAGAGGAGCTGTATTTAGTCCAAATGAGAGGCTGAATTGTTAACAGTGGTGATGCCTTATCTGAAACACAGCCAGAGTCTCTCACACTCACCTTACGAGTTCTGGTGTCGGTGTGGAACGCCTGGGTCTGGCCACTTCCTCACCTGATACACAGGACAAAGGAATTTTTAGGCATATTTTTCTTGCCATTCCTTACTTATCTGTCTTATGAGCTATGTTTGGAAACACTTAGAGAGTTAGGTCCCATCAATAAGAAACTCAACATGAAAGCTTTGCAAAACAAACCCAGAAAACAAACCTTCTCCCCTGTCAAGGCAACATGTAGTAGCATTTCCTCTGGCATTTGTAAAGCCTAATTAACCAAGGAATTACCACGATAAGCCATCAAATAGAAGATTTGTATACTGCAGAGCTGGTGGAGTAGCATAACATTCTTCGAATGTCTGATGCCTCCTTGATCAGGTCTGCTTCCCAATTACCAGAAGAGAACAGTAAGCCAGGCCGTATGTACATAGGACATGAATCGAGCATTCTCTGCTGGTTCTTTTCTTGAAATGCCAAGAAAATGTTATACCTTGAACCAGGAACCATGAATTTAGAATTCCCTAGAATGTGTTGTATGCAGCAAAGGAAGATCATGCCCTATGTATATTATAACCTATTCCATGTCACCTTAGGTGACTAAAATTTTTATACCAAATAACACAAGAATAGGTAAATTGTATTTATCTTCAGTTCCTTCTGCCCCCTCTTCCCACCCCCCATCATCAAGCACACACTTGATGAACTTCATTTTTAAAGTCAAATGACACAAGAGTTGAAAAATACAGGAAGAAAATAAGCAAAGTTTCCCCCCAAACATTAATTTAATTTCAGAATTTAAACATTAATCATCAGAACCCACTAAACCCCTTTATCCTTATATTTCTTTGCTACAAAAGGCATTTGTAAGTCTTAAAAATCAAGCCCAAAAGTATATAAGTCAAATGTATATATGCTTCAAGATTCAAGGAACTTATTCCTTCTTTTAAATTGTACTCTATTTTTGGTAGCTAAGATATACTTACTGGATAAGTTCCTTTTAATTGCACCCTAGAATTAGAAATAGACACTATAAGGTTTAAGACCACATATATGTTATGTACAATATGTATATTTCTGTTATTGCAATTAAACTGAACTCAAAGAAATCGATGTGGAAAATGAAAATTTTCTCAGAATCACATTCAAGTTGGAAATTGTAGACACATTCATATAAATCAGTTTTCATTTTACTTAGGATTATAGAGGGAAAGGAAGGGTAAATTATAAGTCTCCCAAACTAGAAAAATCCCTTTCCTGGGTAGATCTGGTAAATTTTAAAGTAAATATAAAATAAAGTAAAAATTAAAGTAAATTATTAAACAGCCTATTAAAAAACAACCCTGAAGTCTAGTAGACAAGAAAGTAAGTCCAAGTTTAAGTTACATTTGATGTTTGAAAATCATAGACTATATTAGGAGTACTGCCTGCTCTTATCATAAACTAGTAGAAACAGTTATTAGCTTATTAATGCATATAACTGGATATAAGTGGCAAATGCTGTAGAGAAGGAAACCTTTGAAGCATTGCCACTGAATGGGCTGTTTTACGCAGGGAGCCAGGGAATTCCATCCTTCCCACCAGATTGCCCCACCCCAATTTCTTCTACTTGCCTGCTAGCTGGCCCACCAATCTACCATTGGGGGTTATTCCTTTAGTTCAAGGCATGGGATACTACTGAAATACAAACAGGCCTGACAAGAAGACTAGTAATAGGCCCTAGCAGGAACTTACTTTGATAACAGAAGGACTGATTAGATACAAAGATTTGATTCAAAACCACTAGGAAAGGGTCTTAGCATGAGGTGCTTCCAGAAAAACAGACCACTGAAAGGGTGGCATTGTGGGTGGGGTGTGGCTTGGCAGGTCTGCCTGAGGAGAATGATGGGGCAGACAGAGCTGCATAAGAAAAGTGGAAGTATAGGAAAGTATTTCAAAAGGTGTGACCATTAATTTGGTGGATGGTCAACAAACAGTTTTTCTATTTCCCTACATTGGTGAAGTGTCAATCTAGTAGTAATATATAATTTCTGGTCTCAAATGATAACATCAATAAATAAGGACGAGATATAGCACTATACAAAGCTTCTTCCTCTATTTTGTAAAGATTTTTCAGAATTGGGGTTTGTCTCATTTTCAACTCATTTATTATAGAAGAGCAGTTTCCATCTGAACAGGATCCATTAGATGTTTTGTACTGGGTGGCCCAATCTCTCAAACTAGTTTCTGTCTTGTTCTGACTAATAACATAATCTGTGTGTGTATGCCATGTAGAGAATTATTATTTTGGTAGTTAAGAACTTTAAAAATAAATATTTTATGTTTAAAATATTAATTTGTTTAAATAAATCTAATTATATACAATTACTTATTTTAATAAATGAATATATTTTATTAAATTAACATATTTATTAAAATTCATAAATAAACATTTAAATACATGTGAAAGTTTAAATCAGCAATAGTTTGGATACAAATTGGCTTTTAAAAAATAAGACTGTATAGACAAAAATAACAAGAGAACAAATTGTTTAAATCAAAATGTTTTCCTAGGTTATGAAACCTCAGCTGGTCATATTTTTATTAATAAGGTCTGAAGGAAGAGACCCATAGGCTCTAGGTTCTAAGGAATAAGACCCCTATAGTATTGTGAGACCTGAAATCCAGCAATTAGGGGGCCCTGAGGCTATACTGAAAACCTTTCAGTTTACCTTACCCTTTTAACAAAAAATGTAATACTTATGAAAACAAGAAAGGTTCCGTGCCTCTTTTGTATTCATCGATTCCTGGTGTATCAATTCATTCAACAGATAGTTACTGTTGGAAGACCCTGAATGAGAAGCCCCTGCAATGTTTTTATTAAATACTCCACACGAATAAACAATTGTCCACTAAATGCAGGCAAGGCATGGCAGAAATATGCAAGAAAATGCTTGTTTAGAAATTAGAAAAGATAAAGTAAGATCAACTTAGAAAGGAACAGATACTTGAGCTGCAAGTGAACAGCAACAGAAAAGGAAGTCCCATTGTCAGCTGGATGTGGCATACAGATTTTTATGACCTTGGTGTTGCAGAATGATAAATCCAGAGCTGGGTTATAGTGATGTTGACTACACAAACCACATTCAGGAAGAAATCCCTTTGAATTAAAAAAAAACCTCACCAAATGACCACATTTTCAATGATTGCCCTTATATGTAGGTTGTGATAGAATTTCCTTCATTTTGAATTAGTTAGTTCACTTTTTTTTCTTTAAAGAAAAAGAGTAACTTGTCATAATCTGAGATGTCACTTAAGATCATCCATACTTGCAGGTGTTGCTTTCTTTGATACTCAGCCAAGTGGCTTTACCAGCAAACCACCAGTTTCTCAGCTGGGGCACAGTATTTGCCTTAAATAATAATTGATTAATTGAATTGGCACAGACCTAGGGATACTTCAGATGGCATTGTTTTCAATTCCATTTCCTGTCTCAAGGGACTGGCCAGACAGAAGAGGGTATTTAAAACATAACAAAGACCCATTTTTGTTGTTTTGAATACATCACTCTTCAATTTGAGGAAAATGATTGAGATTTTACTTTGAACAATGTAAACGAAATTGATTTTGTCTTCAGTGATGGCATATAGAATTATGTGATAGCCTAGGCATATCGACTTGAAAGCATGTCTTCTCCTCTAAGATGGAAACTGTGATTATGCATTATGATGTATCAATGTACACTGAACAGTGTAATTTATTACAAATTCAGTCTTAAAAAAACCATGTGGCTTAAAAATGGTTTCCTTATTGTCCTTACAGTTTTCTTTTTCTTCAAACTTATAAACTTCTGTGATGCTTTCTGGCCAATCTCCAGGTCTTACTTGCATGAGCATGCACGTGGACACACACACACACACACACACACACACACACACACACCACATTAGGAGTTGGGATACCTATGTATTAATTTAGTTTAATGTATTAATGGAAAAGTGTTCTTATAATCCTAAAATATGTATTAACACTTACAGGACGAGATACTTCCAACCAGTAAACTGAATTCATCTGCCTCATTCGATAAATTTGATGAGAAGCCAACCTGGCCACCTGGCCTTGGCAGCAATTTTCTCTATGCAGGTTTAAGATAAAAATGTTAAAAGTTCTTACCGGGCTGCGCCTCTGTGATCAGCAAAAAGGAAGAGAGAACAGACACCTAGTCAGAGAATGATGGATCAGTCAACAGGCTTGGGTAATAGAAGGTTTCATAAATAGCTAACGAAACATGCACTCCAAATAATCAGGTCAAAGGAATATAGACAGTCATGGTGCTTGGGGCTCATTTAAAACATAAGGAAGTTTGGGAGAACTCTAAAGAGAATCCATCGATTGAATAATATAGCTTTGCTCCTGGGGATGTAATACTTTCAAGTTACTGGTACACAGAACAAGGTGGAAACATACAAGAAATTGTGTTAAATTGGCATAGGGAGTTTTTCTCCAGATTATTTGGGGAGAGGGGTTTTAGAGAACAGGCAATTCAGGGAAAGATGATTCCCCACACAATAGGGTGTTAACAAGCATTATAAGCAATGCATTTCCTACATAATTAGGGCATGAATTGGAGACTCCAAAAATCAGAGACCAGGATTAGAGATACTGCTTCTTAACCTGGTTCTTTTCTTAGTGTTCTGTGGGATGTATGCCAATTAGGACCTTATTTTGCAAGTAGCAATTTTTGGCTTAGTGGTTTGGGCAGCCTCTATCAATGAGTAAGAATGTGGTGGGAAAGATGAGGTACCCCTGCCAAGCGCCAATGGAAAAATGAAATTGTTTAGCCCCACCCAATAGAATACTAGTAGACCAGATGATGTCCAGAAAACACAAGCAGGCATACTATTCCTTTCTTTCATTCCTCAAACTTTCACTAATGCTATCAATCTACCCCAACAATCTCTGATAGTGTCCACTCTTTAAAATCTTTCTGTAGTAACGAAGATGACTGTGATGTGTGTGAGGGAAGAGATGATGCTCAGAGTTTCACTTTCAGGATATGAGAACCTATGAATTTACCAGAGGCCACCTGGGACCCCCTATTGGCCAAATCTCCAAATGTGGGCCAGGAGTACAAATATAAAAATAACTAAGAAGGTTGTTCAAATGAACAGGATGGTTCTACTCTCCAGAACACATAAGGGAAATAAAACCTATAATCTTTTAAATGTGGGAGGCTTCTCTGGCTATCTAGTTCAGCTGCCTTTATGCTATAAAGGAGAAAGTGAGGCTGAGACTCACAGCTAGCAAATAAGTAGAATCAGAGACAGAATTTCAGCTTATAAACTCTCATCTTGCTCTTTCTAGGATACCAAGTGTGACATTGTTGGAGAACTCCTAAAAAGCAAAGAGGCCTTGTGGCTAATGTCTAGGAATAGTTACTTCTCAGATGAATTTTTTAAATAGCCAGGAATTTAGATATATTTACTCTAGTCAGTTTCATTTGTAAGAGTTTAGACTTTATTTTTTGCCTTACTTTACAGGTACTAATCCAAATTGATTCCATCTCTCTTATAAATCTGTCTATGGGCACGGATGAAATTTAAATAAAATTAGAAAAAAGGACGCTGATGAATATGCATTTCTGGGCTTAAATTCTTTTACTAATTCATACTATGTTTTGAGAAAAGTTCAAATACTCTTCTATATAAAGATTTAGCATGTATGATTCTTTTTTAAAAAAATGTATTTTTTATTGATTTTAGAGAGGGAGAGGGAGAAATATAGAAACATTAATGATGAGAGAGAATCATTGATCAGATGCCTCCTACACACCCCCCACAGGGGATCAAGCCCACAATCAAGCCCTTGACCATAACTCACCAGTCCATAGGCTGACATTCTATCCACTGAGCTAAACTGGCTAGGGCGAGCTTTATAATTCTTTAACAACCAAACTAACAATCTCCTTGAAAGAAAGACATGTGGGAATTTATGATTTCAGCTTCAATTTCATGGCAAAAAAATCATTCTTTTGTTTTATTAATACTCATCCGAGGATATTATTTTTCCATTGACTTTTAGAGAGAGTGGAAGGGAGGGAGGGGAGAAAGAGAAGGAGAGAGAGGAAAAGAAAGAGAGGGGAGAGAGAAAGAGAGAAAGACAGACAGACAGACAGACACTGATGTGAGAGAAACATATCAATTGGTTGCCTCTCATATGTACTCTATCAGGGCAGGGATCAAACCTGCAGCCCAGGTATATGTCCTTGACTGGGAATTGAACCCAAGACCCTTCAATATATAGACCAGTGGTTGGCAAATTGCGGCTCATGAGCCACATGCAGCTCTTTGGCCCCTTGAATGTGGCTCTTCCATAAAATACATTTTGGCGCACACGTACAGTGTGATTGAAACTTCATGGCCCATGCGCAGAAGTCAGTTTTCAGCTCTCAAAAGAAATTTCAATTGTTGTATTGTTGATACTTGGCTCTGTTGACTAATGAGTTTGCCAACATAGGCCGATGCTCTAAACACTTAGTCACACCAGCCAGGACAACAATTCATTCTTAAAAGTAATATAAAATACAGCAATGGGGGAATTAAAAATGACACAAGTTCCCCCAAAATAAAATTATGAGAAAAATGCAAAATAAAATGCAAATTTTAGACACCCAGAAGGAGAAACTTAAATTCAAGAATTTTTAGTGATATAAGATTACAAAGAACAGTACTTTACTAAATAATTTCAGCATGTTAATCCACCCAAAGTAAATCATATTTTAATTTCCAATGAGTTAAAAACCTAAATTTTAATCAATTGTTCTTGCATTTTTTTCTAGTAAAAGACACCTCATAAGATAGCATTTTGGAAAAATATTTGCAGAATGCCTTCATCAAGGAACAGCTGTTCAAATTCATATAGTCACAAGTTCATTAACCAGAATCCAGAAGACCCTGTAGAAGCTGTGGAAAGGTCAGACCCAGAAAGCCTCAGGTTCATAATTAAGAGCTATCTGAAACCTTAAAACACACACACATACACACACACACACACACACAAAACTCCAGAATTAAAATTGAAGGGCTTTATATATGTTAATTATCACCGTTAAGGAACTATAGGCATTGCTGAAGGACATGGTCAAATCATTATCAGCCAAGAGGGGAGGGGTTTGCCTATTAAAAGTTTTATTTTACTGTTTCTTCTGATATTTCCCATGGCCTTTAAGCCGTTAGCATTCTTTGTGCTACCAATAGATTTGTTTCAGTGGTGGAAAGAAACTCATTCTGTATCTGGGCTTATATTCTACTAGAGGCCCAGAGCATGAAATTCGTGTGTGGGAGGGGTGACCCTCGGCCTGCCCTGCATCCCCTCGTAATCTGGGACTGCTGGCTCCTAACTTCTGGCCTGCCTTCCTGACTGATCACCCCTAACCACTCGCCTGCTTGTCTGGTTGCCCCTAACCACCTCTGCCTGATCACCCCTAACCACTCACTTGCCTGCCTGCCTGATCACCCCTAACCACTCGCCTGCTTGCCTGATTGCCCCTAACTGCCTCGGCCCCTGCAAATGCGACTTCGTTTAAAAGGACATCCGGAATGACATTTGGAAGATCATTCAGCTGTCTGGTCTAATTAGCATATTATGCTTTTATTATTATAGATGAGCTGAACACTCTAATTATATTGTTGAAAACTCAAATGTGTACAGGGCAAAGAGCTGGGTGTAAGGGCACGTGTGTAAGGGCACGTGTGTTTCACAAAGTTTTGGTTAACTGCCCACACTTAGGTATACTAGTGCCTGCTGTTCCGGAATGTGGGCCTAATACTGCCAGATCTTCAGAGTTGTTGAATGGAAATGCACAATTTAAATTATTTTTAAAAATTCAAATGTTCTAATTTTTAAATGCAGACTAAAATTGTTTTTAACTACACTATATAACACTAATCCAATGCTCAGAAGCTGCAGGTGGCCAATTGTCTGATTGTATGCATCTGTATCACAGAAAATAAGCCCTCAGTAAATTTCATCTGCTGTTTTTATTATTTCACCTGATTACTCAAACAGGGACTCTGCAATGGCCTATTTATTTTTCTGAACAAATTTCTTGCATTCCTAATTAAACATTAATTGTTCAATTCCGAGATTTATCTAGATCTGTTGATAAATTTTGGAGGTTTTGAAAAACATTTTATTTTCCCCTCTACTTTTATTTTGGTGTTCACTTCAGAGATAGATAACTCCGTATTTTGAGGCTGTTTTCAAAGTGGGTAAATACTACTAACTTATGATTTGATTTCTAGAATAAGGCTATTTATTTGTATTTGTACATGCTATATTTGTAAAATGTATATAATGTGAAACGTATATTTTCCCCTATAGAATATACTTGAGAATATGTCCTTGCAGTCCCCACAGTGTCCTTACTCCACATAAGGTTGTTGTTTTTTCTTTTGCACAAAATAACATAAATTATGTTAACTGCGATCACTTAGTCTTAGCCAAAGTAGGTTAGTGTTTTAAGATATTTATATAAAAAAGCAACCAAACATAATGTCTTGCTCATCCAAAGCACTAAATAACTAGCCTCAGGTTTTGAAGCTTTATGACATTTTATAACATCCTCATGTGCTAAATTCAGTGTCATGGGGAAACAGAAAAATGAGTGAAAAGCTATAAAGCACCAAATGAATATTATTTTTATATAATCTAGTCATAGCAAATTCAGTAATCCATGTTAGAGAATTTCCTAGGAAAAAAATTGGTATATATGATTATTATGTTTATTGTTTTAATTCTACCCAGTATTACTAATTGTTTTTAAAGCTTTAGGATGAAGACAAACTATCTGGCAATGCAGTATGAGTACTCACCACCTTAAGTCAAGTCTCTTCCAGCCACCATTTATCCCCTCTTTGCCCTCTTCTATTTCTCTCATCCCCTTTCCCACTGGCAATCATCATATGGAGATATTTTTCAGATTAACTGAAAAAGAAAGTAACTTCCCTTTTCTAGGCCAGCTTCACAAACATTCATTCAGGATGGATATTAACATGTTGTATATTTTAAAAAATTAACTTAAAAATATTTGGCTAGTCATAGTATGTACATGTAACTTGACTAATTCAAGTGGAAGTTGCAATAAACAAAATTCAATACCTAAAATATTTGGTCATATGCCTGTGATTGAGGCAGATGTGAATCTTTGCAAAATTACCCTGTAGCCCTTTATAACTGGTAAAATTACTCTGTGGCCCTTTATAGCTGGTAAAATCACTTAGCAACCAACTTCCTCTTCCCCCCGCCCCCTATTCAAAATCTTGTTTAGGTGTAAAACACAATCCATCATTCAATATACAGATGGTAAGCAAATGGAAAAAAAAGTTTGGCCAAAATGTAGAAATAAATTGTTATGTCTTACCGGACTTTTCCTCTAAAAGCGTAAGCATGGGAAGGAAAAAGGAGAACATAAAAGAGGTGAAATGCATTTTCAAGAAGCAGTAGTTCAAGGCTCAGAATAACCATGCTTAAAGCAGTTCTCCAAGGTATTGCTCTAATAATTCCTATGAGTGTCTGTTACGGTCATTCCTAGGCTGCAGGCTTAAATTGCAGGGCAGCAGCATAGACCACCCCAAAACATGCCATTTTGGCATATTGGTTATTTTGAGCTGTAGGCACTTGAAAACAACAAATGCCTAAAAAAAAATACTCTCAAGGAAACTCAATTGTCATTAATCCCCCTCCTTCTGGGAATTTCATCAACCAGAGAGCATTAACTCATCACAAGAGAGAAAACCAGAAGGCAACACCATACTCAGACAAACTGTCACAAACCATGATACCTCCCATCTATTCTTCTAAAGGTCCATTCATCTTTCCTGAAAATTATTTTCTTTCCCCTAAGAGGGGTATATCCCCTGCCCTTTCCCTATAAAAATGATATTTAATTCTAAATGTCATTTATTTTATTTACTTATTTTTCCTGGGTGTCTTTCATGCATACATGAAGTTTGCAAACTAATAAATTTCTGTGTGGGTTTTCTCTTGTTAGTTTTTCTTTTTGTTAGAGGTCCAGCTAAACACCTAAATAAGATGGGTAAGAGGTAAAGTGTTCAAGCTATAGAGGGCATAGAAATGAGCTTCATTGAAAACATTCTAAGCTCACTTTTGAACTGTTTATTTTTATCAAATAGATTTGTACCTTGGAAGTAGAAAAGCATGCTTTGTAATACTAAAAGGAGCTGAAAAATGTCATTTATGTTTTAAAGCCAGGCATGATTATGAGCATGAGGTTTTCCAGAAATTGCAGTCTTGTCAGGGAACCCAGTACCTGTCATCTCCCAAGATACCTTAGCTACAACCATCATTCGGTCATTCCATCTTTTAGTTTTCCCCACTCCCCATGGACAATTAAAATTAGTTTCCTGGCGAGTAGTCTCTGATTCCTTGGAATGCTCTTTTATTTCCTCATCAGCTGTCCAAAGTGAAGCCTTCATTTCTTGACATACTCCATGAACTTTCTTTCTTTTTTTCTTTTTTTTTTTTTATAAATCTTTATTGTTTATATTATTACAAAAGTTCATTTTTCCCCCTCCACCAGGTTCCCACCCCACCCTCTGCCCTTTCCCCACCCCCCCATTGTCCTCATCCATAGGTGCACAGTTTATGTTCAGTCTCTTCCTATACCCCCTTCTCCCCCTTTCCCTAAGAATCGTCAGTCCACTCCCCTTCTATACCTCTGATTCTATTATATTCACCAGTTAATATTGTTCATAAGATTTTTTTTTAATTCCCTTGGTTTTTAGATTCACGTGTTGATAGTTACATATTTGTTGTTCATGGTTTTTATCTTTATTTACTTTCTCTTCTAAAAGATCCCCCTTCAGCAATTCATATAATTCTGGTTTGGTGGTGATGAACTCCTTTAGCTTTTTTTTTTATTAGTGAAGCTCTTTATCTGGCCTTCGATTCTGAGTGATAGCTTTGCTGGGTAGATTATTTTTGGCTGTAGGTTCTTGCTATTCATTAACTTGAATATTTCTTGCCATTCTCGTCTGGCCTGCATGGTTTCTGTTGAGAAATCAGCTGACAATCGTATGGGTGCTCCTTTATAGGTAACTACCTGCTTTGCTCTTGCTGCTTTTAATATTCTCTCTTTGTCTTTTGCTCTTGGAATTTTAATTATGATGTGTCTTGGTGTGGTCTTCTTTGGATTCCTTTTGTTTGGAGTTCTGTGCACTTCCTGGACTTGTAAGTCTAATTCTTTCACCAGGTGGGGGAAGTTTTCTGTCACTATTTCTTTCAGTATGTTTTCGATATCTTGCTCTCTCTCATCTTCTGGGACCCTCATGTTGGTTCGCTTGAAGTTATCCCAGGGGTTTCTTAAATCATCTTCAACTTTCTGGATTCTCTTGACTTCTTGCTTCTGTGGAGGAGTATCTTCTGGCTCTTTATGTTCCAAATCTTTGACTTGATTCTTGCGATCTTCCATTTTGTTTTTAGGACTCTGTATAATATTTTTTAATTCAGAAAATGTATTCTTTATTTCTTGTTGATCCCTTATTAGTTCTTGTTGATCCCTTATTAGTTCTTGTTGATCCCTTTTCATCTCCTCATAGGTCTTATCGACCTTTTCTAGGAAATTCTTAAAAAACCTTATAAGCATGGTTTTGAACTCTATATCCAGTATCTTCTTTTCCTCCATTTCTTTTGTTTGTGATCTAATTCCTTGTCTTGGCATTTTCACAGCTTCTCTGAGTTGGTAGGGTGGCTTTGTGTGCTAAGGTGTCCTATATGGTTCAGTGAGTCAGCCTCCCAGTTACCTGAGGTGGACAGTCTTGGTGTAGCCCTTTGTGGGATGGGTGGGCAGTCTTGTTGTTAAGCCTTGCTTGTTGTTGGTATCACTGGGAAGCGTTGATCTCCAAGCCAATTGGCTATGAGGATCAGAAGTGTCTCAGCTAGGAGGGTTTCTGTATTCTGTTTGGATGGGTGGAGTCTCGGGGTGGCACAGACAAGCTTTGTTGAATCCCGCACAATGCACAATTGGTTGTAGGTGAGCACACCTCTTTGGTATAGGCGCAGACCAGCTTTAGATTCCTGTATGCCCCTCCCTAGGAGAGTCCTATTGGCAGGGAACGAGGAAGCTAGTCACTGGAAGGGCCTCTATGCTCTGTTTGGATGGGGTGTAGTCTCGGGTGGTGCAGACAAGCTTTATTCAGCCCCTCCCTATGAGGGCCTGGTTTCTGAGTCCCGCAGTAATGGCCGCTGGCTTCACACACCTCCGAGAGATCTCTGCCCCCTGCCTGACAGACTGGCCTCTGTCAGCGCAATAGGGTGGTTTTGTTTTCCTCCAGAACAAGAAAGCCAGCCACGCATTAGCTGTCCGCCCTCTCTGCGCGCAGGGAGTAAGCTGGTAGCGAACTCGGCCCGCCCTCTCCACGCTCTGCAAGCCAGCCGGCAGCGAACTCTGTGGCCGCTTTTTCGCACGCACAGTTTTCTGTACCTTCACAGTTCCTGAGGTTCAGCGCGCCTTCTCTCTCCTTCCCAGATGGTAGAGCCCCCCTTCAGCCAGCCGTCCGGCGCTTCAGGGTGATGTTTCCCCCGTTTTTCAGTTCTAAATTCAAACTTGTTGTGGTAGGCTGCATTCGGGTGTCTGCCCTATGCCGCCATTTTGGTTGTCTCTCTCCATGAACTTTCTATGTGTGGTTCTTAGGCTATGGACTCTAGTCCAGTTTCATTTCCTAAATCCATCCTTTTACACTATCCTCAGAATTATTTCCAAAAATAGTGAGGTGAATATATTACTCCATTCTTCATAAAACTCTCTATTATTCAGAAAATAGAATGTAAGCTTCATTCTGTCATTTACTGCCTTCACGATAGGCTCCAGCTCACCTTCATGCCCCAGTCTTCTATTGTGTTTTGTATGAACCTACACTTAGCTGCAGACTCGGCTGAATCTCCTCACGGCGCAGTGCCTCTACTCTTCCTCTGCTCAGGCTGCTGCTTCAGCTTTCCATGCATTCTCCTGTCTCCTTCAGTTACAGCTTACTCATCTTTCAAGGAGTAACACTCTTTCCTACGGCCTTCCCTCAAAGTATCCAGGTCAGAATAAATTGTTTCCATCTCTTATTAGATAACACATTCCTTTTGTTCAAAATAATAAGGCCATATTTAAAGCCTTTTTATTTGCCTGGCATTTAATTGCCTCAAGGGAAAAAAAGGTACATGTTGCAAGTACAATATATAATTTGCAGTTCATATTTTGTTCTGAATTATTTAGGTATTTCCACTCAATAATTCACAGTAATTGTTATGAATGGACTCTCTCTAGCCCCAAACGTTGTGCTAGATACATTTTCAAATTACCTTAGCCTCCCATTTTTTAAATGCCTTGAAAAAGTTCTACTATGCCTCAATTTCATAATTTGTAAAGCAGTGATGACTGCTACTTTGAATTGTAGGATTAAAAGAGAGGGTGATATTGACAACTAACATTTATTGAGGCCTTATTATTATTGTTTTACTATGATAGGTGGTTGGTGTCATTACTATCACTAACTTACCAGTGAGGAAAAGGAGGCAAAGATATGTTCCTAAATCACATGGTTACAATGGAGTAGAGCTGGGACTCAATCCAGGTTGTCTAATTCTAGAGAGCCTGGTCAAGGGTGGGTTCCTGGCACAACTCAAGTTCCCTAAACAGATTAAACTTACTTTCAGGGACTTTTCAGCATTGGGATCTAAAAACTCACAGATCAGAGAGCTTGGAAAATAATCTTGGATCTTTCCAATGGAAAGAGTTAGGTCATGCCTGTCTATCATAGCAGGTCTCAAAGAATGAGCTTTTCAGAGAGTGAGGGCTTTTCAGATTGTGTTTCTCAGCCTGCTTTCAGATATTCAAATTAAACTCTGATTTTAAGGTAAATTTCTCAGCCTTTTTTCTAGAATTAAATGTATGTTCTTTAATTAGAATCAGAGCTATAAGCTTGAATACCCAAATGATATGGCACTTCTCTTTCCTCCTCACACCTTTCCATTCTAGGCTATGTGATGATTAAATGATCTTTATTTAAAATGTTGTTTTGCTTTAATTGTTAACAGCTACCAATCTTGGCTTAAGGGTTTCTTCAGAATGTTAAACAAACAAAAAGACATGGCAAGATAATTTTCCTTTTTAAAATGAGCTTATTGCATCAGAATTGATTTTTAATTATGGGAAAGATAATAATAGCACTGGAAAAAGATGTATACCCCCACATGCACTAGTACTTAGAAATAGAGTAAGTGAATTTTTGGATTGAACAAACATATACCTAAAATATAACCATTCAATCTTCTCTAAGTGCAAGGATTTCCCCATTCCATGGTCTGAGAAAATATAAATTCTCTAATTTGCAAACCTTGTTGAAAGGCAGCTCATCCTTATGATCA